TTGTAACTTGTACATAATCTTTAATATATTATATTTCTTTTGTTATTGAAATTTATTTCTTATTTCACCACGTCACACAAGTAACACTTCCATTTCTTTATGCAAGAAAGGATAATAGTGGTTAATAAATAATTTTAATAGTGTTGCTACAGTCTGGACCTATAAATAAATTGCAAAATCTACAAACTTAATAAAACACTAAGCATAATCACGATGAAGGGACTTTTGCTTTGATTTTCTGGAATAGCTGGAATCCGGGATGTTATTGTGCAAGCACCAACAGTAATCTGCTGTTATATTTGTGTTCCATATACCTTCGATTACCTTACCATACCATATACCTTCGATTGTTTTTATATCTTGGTGAAAGCTCTTACCCTGTTCACTTTCAGCACTAAGATTTGAGGGAAAACCTTTAAGAGGTTATGTAGAAAACGCATCTTGACATTCACATTTGCTCCCATCCTCTGACAGGGGGTCCACAAAGTATCAACTAGGACATTGTAATTGTCTGCCTTTTTGTTGACGAGAAAGTTTGTTGCAACATTACAAAATACACACCAAGCATCTCTCTCCAGGGGGCTCATTGTTTTCAAAAATATTTATCTTTCAAAAGAAGCCTTATATGAGGACCTTCGTAAACACTAGCTTTCCAACTTCTCATGTGTCAGTGATGGAAATAGGGAACAGATGTGAAGCAAGCACCACCTTTATCCAGAGCCTTCACAAACGTATTCATAAGGCCTAAACTGATATGCAGTGGTTGCAATTTTATTGCGATCAAGAAGCTAATGGTTTGTATTCTTGTCACCAACTTGAAATGTCTCCCGTAAAGGTCATTCCTTTCTTATCCAGTACTCTTCCTTTGCATGGCTGCCCCGAATATACCTGTTATATGGATATTTTGTGTACCCTCCCTGTTGACTTAGGAGTATCGATATTACCTTTAGGCAACCGCAAACACTCCAGCAGTGATCTGAATATTTTAGTTTATGACAAAGTATTCTCATTGTTTCATAGTTTCCATTTTCATTGAGTGACCAACAGGAATAGATGCTAATTTGTTACCAGTATTCAACAACACGCACTTTAAACTTCTCTTCGAGCTGACAATAAGCAATTTTGATTCCTCTGCAAGGTACTCGCACCCCATAGCTTCAATGACAGCTGAAGTCAGATATATTTGTCCTTCTTTTTTGAAGTTTGCCTCAAATGTAGCCAAATATGTCTGAATCATTTGTACACTCTCTACGAATTGCAGCTATTTTTCATCTGAATCCATAACAAACAAAACTACATTAAGTATTTTTAAAATACATACAACCATTTATACAATTTCTTTCCTGAATCCTAATGTGGTTGTGCAAAATAGTGTTGAATGATCGATACTAATTAATACAGGCAAAACTAATTAATACAGGCACCTGCCGCATTATAAAATATATAAAATCATTTGTGAAAAACCTGGCGTGTTGGTGAAATATGAATATGATTTCTGGATTCAGAATACTCAAATTAATAAAGATCATCTGTTAGATTAAAGTCATCAAAAATTATGCAGACCAGTTTTATCATTAATTGGCGCAACGCGCTTCGGAAACCCTGATCGAGCTTAGAGCGCCTTTTGCGTGTTATCCATTAATATGTGTTAGGTATGTCTCGTCTCGTCGTTGTCAAGAAGACCGCCAGGTAGCATCTCAACGTACGCGCCCTTTACAACACGCGCCCCTGCTCTACTATCCAGCGGCCAGAATTGGGAAGGAATTAGGAGAGGGGTAGGGTTTAGGACACTTCATAGGGGTTCGACTAGCCCCTATGAAGCAGGTAGACTCGTTTTGTAGGAACAGGTTTGACATGAGCTTGTTCGGGAATCGAACCTGGACCTCCTTGTTGAAAGGCGACTAAGCTCTGAGCCTCGAGACCACTTTGTGTAATGTCAGTTGTACATAAATATTTACGTGACAATTGAAATATTAGGAGTTTTGGAGTAATTGTTTAATTCAGATTTTTTGTTAGGACGTACCATGTATTGTATAGTAACTGAGCGCTTTCGGGATGATGGCGTCAACAACTGGATTACCAAAACTCAAGGCTCTGGTTTAATCCTTTTCCTAGAAAAAGTGTTCAATGTCCCGATCTCCATTGCTTTCCAGTTTGTCTGATAGAAGCGTTTTCTGTTAACAGACGGAGGAAATTCCTGCACTCGGGAGAAATCGTTTTTGTGTTCTTTCTGTGAAAAGAGCTTCAGGAAAGAAGATTACCTCCAAAAGCACATGCTCATCCACACTGAAGAGAAACGTTTCCAGTGTTCCATCTGTGAGAAGGGCTTCAGTAAAAGAGAATCTTTAACAAAGCACATGAAACTTCACACTGGCAAGAAACCTTTTCAGGGTTCTGTTTATAGAAAGAAATTCGGTACAAAAGAGTCATTAACAGTTCACATGAATATACACACCTATGACTCTCCTTTCCATTGTTCTTTATGTGGCAAAAGCTTTGGAACAAAGCACCTTGCGAAACGACACATGCTCATTCATAGTGGCAAAAAACCTTTTGAGTGTACCGTCTGTGGGAAGTGCTTCAGTTTGAAGGGAAACTTTATTAACCACATGCGCATCCACACTGGCGATAGACCTTTTCAGTGTTCCATTTGTGAGAAGAACTTCATTGAAAAGGGAAACTTATTAAGGCATTCAAGAATACATACTGGGTACAAGCCTTTTCAATGTTTCTACTGTGAGAAGGGCTTTAGGTTAAAAACGCTTCTAGAAACGCATATGTTCCTGCACACGGGCGAGAAAGCTTTTCCTTGTTCGATGTGTGAGAAGGGATTTGAATCCGAAATCAAATTAGAGCGACACATGCGTTCCCACAGTGGAGAGAAACCGTTTCAATGTTCCATCTGTGACAAGAGCTTTACTGAAAAGGGATCTTTAAAATACCATTTGAGCATCCACACTGGTGAGAAATCTTTTCAGTGTTCCACGTGTCAGAAGAGCTTTGTAAGTAAAAGTAAATTAGAAAGACACATGCTCAGCCACACCGGAGAGAAACCTTTTCAGTGTTCCATCTGTGAGAAGAGCTTTGCTGAAAAAGGAACGCTACAAGGACATATGATCATGCACAAACAGTTTCAGTGTTCGTTATGTGGGCAGAAATTAACACTTAAATCTTACTTAGGTTTGCACATGCGGTTTAACTCCGGCAAGAAACCGTTTTACTGCACCATCTGTAAGAAACACTTCACTCTAAGGGCAAATTTACAGAAGCACGTGAAAAGTCACATAATTGAGTCGCCTCTTCAGTGCACTGCTTGTCAAAAGCGCCCTGTCGAATGTCTTGTATGACACCATCCACCCCATACGTGAGATTAACTATTTCAATCGGTGGTTTAGAAGAGCTTCATTGAAACGCAAAACGTAAAGCTCACGAGGATACACGCTCGTGACAAATCTTTTTGTCTTTCGTATATGTTGGGGGGGGGGGCTTTGAAATAAAAGGAGACTTAGAGTGACGTGGTTACTCAGACTGGCGAGATGTGTTAAGAGAGCTTGTAGAGCTTCTCTCTCGGATGGCAAATATGCTTTAGCAAATGTTTACCACATGAATAAGAGACCTTTTAAGTGAATCGTCTCTCAGAAAAGCTCTCTGTGACAAATATAAGCACAAGATCTCTCGATGACGACAACGTTATGAAAGCTCTGTCTGCAAGATTATATCAGAGAGAAGACAGGGCAGTTATGGAACTACACCGGTGACGGTGTAGTTTACCATCTGTAAAACGAAACTACTTAATAAATACAATACAAGCATAATTCTTACATATACCGACGGAACGATCCTCCAGTGAAATCTCAGTACCCTCTGTATGTGAAAAGAATTCTAGAATAGCGATAGACAGCTGACTTATTAACATGATTCTCCATATATGCGAGGAAGGTTTGCTGTTCAATATGTGAGATGATCGTTGTCGTTTCGCTGGCTGGAAAATGTGCTTCAATCGAAAACTGCCTGCAGAGGCAAAGTGTTCCTCTGCGTAGGGACCGACTTAAAAGGGAAACTTCGTGAGGCCGATGTGCAAACACACACGCGTTCCTAGTGCCTTGCTTTTGGAGCCTTTTGGATAGACTATCCTGCAAAATGTGTTGTGCGAAACGTACATAACAAGAAATCACGTATGCACGAAGCAAAAGTCCAAATTTGAAGAATATATACGAAACGAAACCTTGCAGTAATAGATCTGCATGAAGTCTGGTGATGATATTTTTAATATTCATCCTTGAGAAGTGCTTCATTAAATACTAGGATGATTCCCGAGACCTGGCTTGTAACAACCCATCAGTAGACCAAAAGGAAATGAATTCTATGTATAGTGTGAAATTCAAGTAAGTTTATTGATACCCACGTTCCTCCATCCTCCCCGTCCTTCAAAAAAAAATTCCATTTTTGCCATTAAATAACAAAACTGTCTTCCAGTGAGATCATACTCAATTATTCGAATAAATAATTATTTTTGTGTAATTTATCGTCAAATATGTAATAATAATAATAATAATAACAATAATAATAAAATTGTCTTTATTTGTGGCGAGGCTCAGGCTCTAAGGCCTCGTCTTCCGCCTAAACACTTTAATGTAAATACAATTCCCAAACTTACAATAGAGGCGTTCGGACTGGCATTTCATGTTGCACTGAAAAAAATTCAATTTGAGACTACTATCTACATGAAATCATTGTGCGTCCAAACCAGTGAGCTAGAATATGCTACGAGTACATAAGCGTGGCTCTCCCTATGGTTTCAGCGCTCTTCGTGGCGGCTCGCCGAACTAGTGTCCGCCATGTTTTTGAAGTCAAACCATACGAATAGCGGTGTAACCGTGCTTAACCACCGCCAAACTTAATGCTAAAGTACTTTGTTTCCCAGAGGGTGCTGCTTTGACAGCAAGAAACATGGCTTGAATTTGCTTCCAATGTGGAGGTACTTCTGTATGTAGTATGTTCTAGCTCGTTGGTCCAGACGCTCCTCACACCAACCCGAGTTATGGCCGGTCGCAGAACCTCCGTACGGGACCTTGTGAGCTCGTCGCGCACGGTGACGCCCGTGGTCTTCAATTGTCTTTTCTTCGGAAAGACCTCAAGGCACTTCCTGTAACTTGGGAATTTTACAATTAGCGGCCGTGCTTTACCTGTGATCGTGGGACCCGTAGTGCTTTTTAGTGCAATTTGGTTCCAGGAATTTTCAATATGGCAAGCATTCGGTCCTGCCAACTTCGAAAATATACATGAAACGCTACTTTCAAATATACGAATCTCAAGAAATGTCATCAAGAACTTCTTTCATTATAACGTTAATTTTAATTCACTGAATGTTTTGAAAAATTAGAGTAATTATTTAGACCAATTATTTTGATAATTTCCTCCTGAAACACATCATGCGGAAATATGACAAGTTTGATGTTTAACTTCAGTGTAAAATGAAGGTATGATTAGAAAAGTTTGGAGGAATAAATTAACAAATGACATTCTTACAAAGATTGTAAATGATTGATAAAGATATAGAATGAATGAAAGGAAAAAGTTTAAAAATGAATATCAGAGAATTTCTTTACTTGTCTGCATTTTATAATTTCCCTGGTCCTACAATATATTTCAACTGAACATTCAACAATATAATCTAAGAATGAAGATTTAAAACGCCATTCACATTTTAAGTAAATTATAAAAAAAGTAAATTTATTTCACAAAAATTACATATAGGTATATTTCCGTGAAATCTTCATCTAGTACACTGTCCGTGTTCTGATGTATAATTTATTGTTTTCACAATCCTACCCCATCCTTCTCTCTATATTTATCTATAATTTTCTCAGCATGCTCCACTGAATTTTTCCAGTTTGTGCGCTGCCACTGTACGTGTTTGATGCCTTGAGAAATGAAAGTAATGTATTCATAACACTTTATTGAATTTAAGACATTGAACCTCATTTTTCATGTAAATGTGTCAATAAATTTAGATAACTGAGAAACCTGCTCTAAAATCTGATTCCAAAAATGTCCGGTCTTTTTCATTTCCTGGCTAGATCTTGCAAGGACATTCTTTGTCTGAGACCTTCATCCCTTTCTCTGAGACCACACATATTCAGTTGGATTTAACATGCCTATGATAGGGAGTGAGCCTTCAAACATATGCCCTTCAGATCCCAATATTTCATCAACTACACCTACAACTACTCCAAT